TTTGAGTTGAGTTATTATTTACGTGTGGCAAAAAAGACAGCTTAGTGTCAGTCTGTAAATTACATTTTCCAATTAATTATGTTTGTTTAGAAAAAACGCATTGATTGTAAAACATACATTATTGGTCTTTGTGGAAGGTTCGTCTTGAAAACTAATGTTCAGTTTAATTAATATCACTTGTGATTGCGTTTAAAGCGATGATAACCAAATTACATACATAAAATATTTTCACTTCACAATTTATACTCCAAATGTGTTTGCCTTTGAGCCATCTAAGATAAATAATCCACACATGAAGATGGATTTGTCTTATGGCAGTTGGTAGAAACGCTACTCAGTTATTTGCTCAAACTATTCCGAAGGTAGAGATTAATTTTCAATACACTCTCATGATTGTGACCTTGTGCCTGACTAAGCAAAAGTCATACTTTACGATGCAATGGTTAATAAGGTCATCACGCATATCATTATTCTGTAGATATTATATTCATTATTGTCTTACCAATGATTCCTTATGAAAGATTAAACTTGGGTTTGCTATTTCCAACAGAGTGTCTGCCTGAGGGCGATGATTAAAATAGTAAATCAATAGCAAACAATTACCTCAAAGCCGCTGTTACGGTGGGGAACTTTTCGTAGCATTTTGAAAATCATTTGTGCTATTAGTATATATATATATATATATATATATATATATATATATATATATATATATATATATATGATATATATATAGATAAATGTTTATATATCAAAAATATATTGGAAAAATATACGACAAAATGGAAAAATGTTTTCGACGCATCAACATAACAAATTTAGTCCGTCGAAATCATACCGAATGAAACCCGTCACACGAAAATATTTATATTTATCATATATTTTATATAATATATATACAACCATAAAGTTCGAGTGCACTTTAAAAAATTATAACTTTATTTGTATTTGCGATAGAAATAATTTGTAAAAAGGATTAGAAAGAAGTAAATCTATATTTTTTAAGGTTTTATTGAAATTTTATTTAAGTTTCCACATGTCCTCCATCATTAGCAATACAAAGGGTAATACGATTTTGCAGTTCACGGAAAACATTTGCCAACTGATTTACAGTAATGCCTGAAATCACATTAGTTATTTTAGCTATACTTAAAACTAGGTACATTAAACTTTATAACATTTTTTACAGATTATTTCTATCGCAAATACAAATAAAGTTATAATTTTTTAAAATGCACACGAACTTTATGGACACCCTGTATACATTTTATTATACATATATATATATATATATATATATATATATAATATATATTATGATGGAAATCTTTTTTTTGATTTCGACGTATTTAAATAATCCAATAACTTTATTCATTTTTTATGTTTGCTCCGTATGTAACACTTGAGTTCCAGTAGTGACCTGAATACACGCGTTGTGCAACAGTGGGGGACTTGAGACAGAGTAACAGGACGATTTGTTGACGCTTTTTGCCGTTGTCTTTCGTCTCTTAGTTGGTCAATACGACTCATTCAAAATTTCTGATATCCCTCTGGCACAAATATCGCAACAAATAGTTTGTGGAAGACATCCAGCTGATGGATATGGGACCACTGGAGGGTCCTCGATTCTGAGCCGTGCAACAGTGTGCTCAAAACGGCTGCTCTATTAACCCGTATCTGGTTATCCAATTTAATACCTCCCTCATTCCATTGGTGGTGTCGAAAAATCCAGAATGTACTTTAATTTGACAATCAAATTTGTTATTTCGTCATCAAGGGATGCATTTCTCAATATCTTACTTCCTAAATATATAAAATGACTTCTTCATATCTGTTTCAAGTTTGTCCCATCAATCTGTATCATTAGGGTTATAGAATTGATGAGATGGTGGAGATTGTCTGACACGTCGAATTTCATTTTTTTAAAGGATCTGTGCTGATGGGTTACAAAGAATAATTTGGTTTTTTGATCGTTTAATGCCAAAAAATTTTAAATTCATGCACCAGAAATTAACGGTTTATATTTCCAGGACTTTCTATATTTTTTTTAAATTTCAAGTTTTGCATCATCAATAAAAAGCAGATCACAAATAGCGCTTATTGAAGAAATATAAATATATATATATATATATATATATATATATATATATATATATTATTTATTTGAATTCATTTAATTTTTTTATTTTCCGAGCTTCTGAAATTCGAATTACAGCCAAATCCACAACATTCAATTTTCTAATTTCCTTTTTTTTCATATGAATTTATTCTTCTTCTCCCCCCAGCTTGTTTAAATTCTTTCAGACTGGGTTCTATAGCCTTGATAGCATTCTGGTCTACTGCAGAAAGAAATTCTTTATCTAAAAATAATTGCGGGAAAAAATTTCAAAGTCAGTTTTATCACGCATGGCACATAACCGACTCAACAAAAAACAAGAAATTCCACTCTAATCCATTCATTCATTTTTTACGTTTTAATACCCTTGGGAAAGGTATAAAACCTCACCTTCTCCCCCCACCCAGCTATGGGTAAATAGCAGGACAGACCGGCTTCTGTAGCCTTCGATGGCAACTGGTCTAACGCAGAAACAAATGACAATTTACTGCAGGAAAAAAATTGCCTTTCAATCATTCGAAAGATAGATGATTTTTAAACTGTGTATCATTCTATGGCCCGTAAATTTACTGAAAACAAAAGTAAAATTTCAGTCGAATCCATTATATTCACATACAGGCTAATACCCTTGGAAAAAGTATAAGTCCTTTAAAACTTTTATTGATTATTTTATACATTAATTTTATATAATTCTATGGGTAAATAGCAGGACAGAACGGGTTCTATAGCCTTAGATGGCAACTGGTCTATAAAATTAGATAAAATTTACTGCGTGAAAAAATATCCGCCTCGTCAGTCATGTATCGAAAGATACATGATCGCCTAAGCGCGTATCACGTATGGCACATAACTGACTTAAAATAACAGTAAAATTCTTGTCGAATCCATTAGAGTGCTATTACCCTTGGGGAAGTTATGAATCCTCTTCTTCTTCTCCCTCAAGCTATGGGTAAAATAGCAGGACAGGCCGGCTTCTATAGCCTTGGATGGCAACTTGTCTACCGAAGAAAGAAATGTCTACCTACTGCGGGAACAACTGCCACGTCAGTAAAGTATCGAAAGATACATAATCGCCTAAGCGTGTATTATGATTGGCAATCAGCTGACTGATATTTTTACAATTATCAAATAAGTTGTTGAACATTCTCCACACTCCCCCATTCGAAAATTAAACAAACAGACTTTATCAGGTGAATTTAATAAACACAGTGGAGTAACATATAGCAGTGTTCGGATTGAGGAAACTGAAAGCAGAGCTCAAATTCCAGTTGAATTCATTGCATTCACTTACGTGGGACAAGTTTTAATTCCTCTTCTCCTCCCACCCAACTATGGGTAAATAGCAGGACAGAATGGGTTCTATAGCCTTGGATGGAAACTGGTCTACTAAAGAAAGAAATGGCAACCTTCTGCGGGAAAAAATCTGCCTCGTCAGTCATGTTTCAAAAGATACATGATCGCCTAAGCATGTATCACGTATGGGATATAACTGACCTTGGGAAATTTTTTGAAATCAAGGACACTAGCTATTGAAATAGCAGGACAAGCCAGGTTCTATAGCCTTGGATGGCAATCTGGATTGTTAGTCATGTATTGAAAGATTACATTTTCGCCTTTACATGTATCCATTTCAGTCAAATTTTTAATTGATTTACGGGCTAATACACTTGGGAAAGGTATGAATCCTCTTCTTCTCCCAGCTATGGGGTAAATAAATACAGGACAGATATTTGTTCTTCATTGGATGGCAACTGGTCTACTACAGAAAGAAATGGCAAAATTCTTTATTGGAAAAAAATCTGTAATTTCATTCATGCATCGAAAGATAGATGATTGCCTTTTTAGCGTTTATCACGCATGGCACTTACTGACCCTTGGGAAAGGTATGAATCCTCTTCTCCTCCTAGCTATTGGTAAAAAAGCAGGACACAGTGGGTTCTATAGCCTTGGATGGCAATCTGGCTTGTTAGTCATGTATTGAAAGATACATGATCGCCTAAAATGTGTATTATATAGCACATAACTGACTGATATTTTTACAATTATTTACAATAATTTGTTGAACATTCACAAGATTTTTGCTCCAAATTAAACAAACAGGCCTTATCAGTTGAATTTAATAAACATAGTGGAAAACATATAGAAGTGTTTGGATTGAGAAATTATTTTCAGAGCTCAAATTCCGGTTGAATTCATTGCATTCACTTATGTGGGAGGAGTTTGAATCCTCTTCTTTCCCACCCAACTATGGGTAAATAAAATAGACAGAATGGGTTCTATAGCCTTGATAATCTAACTGGTCTACCACAGAAAGAAATGGCAACCTTCTGTGGAAAAAAAAATCTGCATCGTCTGTCATGTATCGAAAAGATACATGATCACCCTAAACATGTATTATACATTAGGAAAGGTATGAATCATCTTCTCCTCCTCCCAGCTATTGGTAAATAGCAGGACACACAGGTTCTATAAATATGATGGCAAAGAGTTTACTGCAGAAAGAAATTGCAATCTACTGTGGGAAAAAAATCTGCCTTGTTAGTCATGTATCGAAAGATACATGATCGCCTAAGCATGTATCCATTCCAGTCGAATTCATTACATTGACTTTTGTGCTAATACATTTGGGAAAGGTATGAATCCTCTTCTCCCACCCAGCTATGGGTAAATAGCAGGACAGACCGGGTTCTATAGCCTTGGATGGCAACTGGTCTACTGCAGAAAGAAATGGCAACCTACTGCGGGGAAAAAATCTGCCTCGGCAGTCATGTATCGAAAGATAGATGATCGCCTAAGCGTATACTACGTATAGCATATCACTGACTGAATTCCGTATATAAATAAATAGATAGAATGTGTGTTGAAGATCATTTTTTTTTTCAGAATGCTTCTTGTCTGCCGAATGCGTTTACAAATGGCAACTCCTTTCCGTTGCACATATGAGCAGGTTGAAAACTATAGTTTGCATCGATATGCATAAGAATGGAGTTTATTCGTTTTCATAATCAATATCAACGCGATTGATTCTGAATTAGTATTATCAAATGCTCGACATTTACCAATATCTTCCATGTTTTTTTCGTTTTTTTTAATCTTTTCTTTCTTCTCTCTCCATTTCAGTTTCCTTATAAATATTAACATATTTCCTTTGTCATTTCATCTTCGCCTGCATTACCATTTTTTTTTATTCCATGAACTTGTTTTTGATACCTAAGCGCCAATTTCTTTCTTTGTAAATTCGAAGTCTTCTGCTTCAATTGTTTTGATGATTTACTGCGATTTTTCGTTAGTTTTCATAAGTTATTCTTTTATAGGATTTTCGCGTTTTATTCCTAGTTTTAATTTTATTCCATTTTATTTGACTATCATATTATTTACATTTTATTTTTAATCTGTGATCCCGACGTGATTCCTTTCTTTGTTCCTTCTTCCATTCATTCTTTTCAAACTTGTCTTTTTTTTCAAAATAAATTTTATCGAAAATAAAAAAAAATCATAATTCCTTTTTCTTTTTTTTTCTTTCTTTCTTTCTTTCTTTTTTCTTTCTTTCTTTTTTTTCTTTCTTTAAAAATTTTTTCCAGAGAACAGCCTTTCTTTCTTTCTTTTTTTTTTTTCTTCATTCATAGGCTTTTTCTTCCTTTCTTTCTTTCTTTTCTTTCTTCTTTTCTTTCTTTCTTTCTTTCTTTTTCTTTCTTCATTCTTTTCTTTTTCTTTCTTTTTCTTTCTTTCTTTCTTTCTTTTCTTCATTTATTTTTCTTTTCTTTTTTTCTTTTTTTTTTTCTTTCTTTCTTTCTTCCTTTTCTTTTTTTTTTTTTCTTTCTTTCTTTCTTTTTTCTTTCTTTCTTCTTTTCTTAGGCTTTCTTCCTTTCTTTTCTTTCTTTCTTTCTTTCTTCATATATTTAATTTCTTTCTTTCTTTCTTTCTTTCTTTCTTTCTTTCTCCATTTTCATGATTTTTCTTTCTTTCAAAATTCTTTCTTTCTTTCTTTCTTTCTTTTCTTTCTTTCTTTTTTTCTTCATATAGGCTTTTTTCTTTCTTTCGTTCTTTTAATGTCATAAAGGCTTTTCTTTCTTTCTTTCTTTCTTTCTTTTTTCTTTCTTTCTTTTACATTCTTTCTTTTCTTTCTTTCTTTCTTTCTTTCTCCATATAGGCTTTTTTTCTTTCTTTCTTTTTTCTTTGTTTCTTCATATTTTATTATTTTTTTTCTTTCTTTCTTTCTTTCTTTCTTTCTTTCTTTCTTTCTTTTTCTTCATTATAGGCTTTTTCTTTCTTTCTTTCTTTTCTTTTCTTTTCTTTTTCTTCTTTCTTTCTTTCTCCATATAGATTTTTCTTTCTTTCTTTCTTTCTTTCTTTCTTTCTTTCTTTTCTTTTCTTTCTTTCTTTTTGTTTCTTTCTTTTTTTAGCTCTTTTCTTTCTTTCTTTCTTTCTTTCTTTCTTTCTTTCTTTCTTTTCCAATTTATTTCTTTCTTTCTTTTCTTTCTTTCTTTCTTTCTTTCTTTCTTTCTTCATATAGGCTTTTTCTTTCTTTCTTTCTTTCTTTCTTTCTTTCTTTCTTTCTTTCTTTCTTTCTTCATATAGGCTTTTTTCTTTCTTTCTTTCTTTCTTTCTTTCTTTCTTTCTTCATATAGGCTTTTTCTTTCTTTCTTTCTTTCTTTCTTTCTTTCTTTCTTTCTTTCTTCTTCTCGCTCTCACTCTTACTCTAGTTCTAACCTATACGCTTTATTTCTTGCTATTCCACTCTCTCTCTAGCCGTAGTTTTCCCTTAACTAATGAAATTTTAATCAACCTTCCTTCCTTCATTCCTTCATTCATTCAAACTTGTTTTCCTTTTACCGTGGAATGTCCGAAATGAAAACATACATACAACTCCTTTCTCCCTTTATTCTTTCCTTCCCTCATAACTTCCTTCCTTCCTTCCTTCCTACCTTCCTTCCTTTTAAGTAATTAATTTTTTAATAATAACCACATCAACGTTCCCTCCTTCCTTCCTTCCTTTCTTCCTTTGAAACAAATGAATTATCGAAAGCAAATCTCATCTCAATCCTTCTGTTCTACTTTCGCTCCCTCGTTCGTTCTTTCCTTTATTCATTTATCATAATAATTTCCGTAAAAATTCGCGAACTTACGTCCTTCCATACTGTATCGATAGTTTTCCTTCAAGTAAAGAAGTCTGGGACGGAGACGACTTCCTTCTGACTTGGTTCAAGCTTGTTTTTCTTTTTAAAAAATAATTCCTAGACGGTTTTCAATTCGAAACTATCTCTCTCCTTCTTTCCTTCCTTGCTTTGCTTCCTTCCTTCCTTCATTCATTCGAACCTCCTTTCTTCTATTCCTTTTTCTCTACTTCTTCCATATATTTCTTCCTTCGACTCTTTCTCCCTTTCTCTCTCTCTATTTTCTTCTTCCATTCCTTCCTTCCTTCTTTCCTTCCTTCATTACATCCTCCCTTCCTTCCTTCATTCATTCATTACTTCCCTCTTTCCTTCATTCTTTCCTTCTTTTCAAACTTTCTTTCTTTCCTTCTTTTTCTTACTTCGACCCTCCCGACTTCTATTCCTTTCTGTCTATTTCCTTCCTTCCATTCCTTCCTTCCTTCCTTCCTTCCTTCCTTCCTTACGTCTTTCCGTCTTTCCTTCTGTTCTTTTTCATTTCCTTCCTTTCCTCCTTCCTTCATTACATCCTCCCTTCCTTCCTTCATTCATTCATTCCTTCCCTCTTTCCTTCTTTCTTTCATTCCTTCCTTCCAAACTTCCTTCCTTTCAAACTTTCTTTCCTTCTTTTTCTTACTCCGACCCTCCCGACTTCTATTCCTTTCTGTCTATTTCCTTCCTTTCTTCCTTCCTTCCTTCTTTACGTCTTTCCTTCTGTTCTTTTTCACTTCCTTCCTTCCCTCCTTCCTTCATTACATCCTTCCTTCCTTCGTTCCCTCTTTCCTTCATTCTTGTTTACAAACTTCCTTCCTTCCAAACTTTCTTTCTTTCCTTCTTTTTCTTACTCCGACCCTCCCGACTTCTATTCCTTTTTTGTCTATTTACTTCCTTCCTTTCTTCCTTCCTTCCTTCTTTACGTCTTTCCTTCTGTTCTTTTTCACTTCCTTCCTTCCCTCCTTCATTCATTACATCCTCCCTTCCTTCCTTCCTTCCTTCCTTCATTCATTCATTCCTTCCCTTTTTCCTTCTTTCTTTCATTCCTTCCTTCCAAACTTCCTTCCTTCTTTTTGTGTCTTTCTTTCTTTTTATTTCTTTTTTCTTATCTCCGACCCTCCCTGACTTCTATTTTTCTTTCTTTTTTTTCCTTCCTTCCTTTCTTCCTTCCTTCCTTCTTTCTTACGTCTTCCTTCTTTTTTCTTTTTTCTTCCTTCCTTCCCTCCTTCCTTCATTACATCCTTCCTTCCTTCGTTCCCTCTTTCCTTCATTCCTGTTTCCAAACTTCCTTCCTTTCAAACTTTCTTTCTTTCCTTTTTTTTTTTTTTTTCTTTCCTGACTTTCTATTCCTTTTTTTTTTCTTCCTTCCTTCCTTCCTTTCTTCCTTCCTTCCTTCTTTACGTCTTTCCTTCTGTTCTTTTTCACTTCCTTCCTTCCCTCCTTCCTTCATTACATCCTTCCTTCCTTCGTTCCCTCTTTCCTTCATTCCTGTTTCCAAACTTCCTTCCTTTCAAACTTTCTTTCTTTCCTTCTTTTTCTTACTTCGACCCTCCCGACTTCTATTCCTTTCTGTCTATTTCCTTCCTTCTTTCCATTCCTTCCTTCCTTTGAACCGCCCTTCTTCTCTTCCATTCTATCTAATTCCCTCTTCCATACCTTCCTTCCCCTATTTTCCTTCCTTCCTGTCCCCCTCTCACACCCGTTCAGCATCACCATCCAGCCATCCATATTTCCAGATATCTTTCTTCCTCATCTCTCTCTCTCTCTCTCTCTCTCTCTCTCTTTCTATTGCAGTCCGACTAAATTCATTTGTCATCGATATTCGACTCGTAGAATTACAAACAACATCGAGAAAAACAATTCCTCACTTGTTTTATTTCTATTTTTTTTTTTTTTTTGCTATTGTTTTCTTTCTTTTTTTTTTTAAACTTTAGTATTTTGTTGTCATTGTTATTGTTGTTTCAATTCTGTCGCTAACGACATTATTTCGGATTATCTCTCCCCCGGGGGCAAGCGTCGTTCGACAATAACTAGATGCATTTTCGCACGATGTTAAATTAATTTTACTGCCGGAGATGATCAATGTCGTTTCTTTTCTTTGATTCCTATACTTATATTTAATATATTTTAATTACTTTTTACTTAACATTTTCTGCTTCTTTCTATGGTTATCGATTTTCAGCTGGAGTTACTTTTCTATTTAAAAAAAAAAAAAATTTTCTTGTAATATTTAGGGAATTTGTTCAACAAAAAACCGTAGAGGCCAAATTATTGTTAGTGGAAATAACCAAATTGACATGAGATAGTTTTTAAGTGCGTCTAAACAGGCTTTTGTGTAGAGCTAAATACGGACATAAATGTCTATATTCAATTTATATCTATATAAATAACCGTATGTATATATTTAGACGCCTGTATGTCCATAGTAATATTGCTGTTTCTATCTATCTATCTATCTATCTATCTATATATATATATTTTCATTATATAGCTACCCCAATTTATTCATTATCTATCTATCTATCTATCTATCTATCGTACTCTTTTCGTTATCTATCTATCTATCTATCTATCTATCTATATATATATATATCTCACACATTTCATAATCTATGTCAATTTTTTCATTATCTATCTATCTATCTATCTATCTCAGTCTGTTCGTTATCTATCTATCTATCTATCTATCTATCTATCTCACACATTTCATCATCTATGTCAATTTTTTCATTATCTATCTATCTATCTATCTATCTATCTATCTATCTATCTCAGTCTGTTCATTATCTATCTATCTATCTCAGTCTGTTCGTTGTCTATCTATCTATCTATCAGTCTATCTATCTCACACATTTCATCATCTATCTCAATCTTTTCATTATCTATCTATCTATCTATCTATCAATCTATCGTACTCTTTTTATTATCTATCTATCAATCTATCTCAGTCTGTTCGTTATCTATCTATCTATCTATCTATCTATCTATCTATCTATCTATCTATCTATGTTTTATTGCGTTTTTAGTGTTGAAGTTATAGCCATAAACTTGACTTTCGACATCATAACAAATAACTTCACAGTTTTCTCAGATTCACTGTCCGTATTGACGTCACTGAAAAGTAAAAACACAGATAATCCCATCATGGTAAACTTGCTAAACACTATGAATCTCACCTGGATGGAAAAAAAAAATTGGACTTATCTTCCACCGAGTACCTCGCTATCTTGGCATCCGCGGAAATGGGGTGGGGGAAGACAGACAGGTCAGCAAAGGGTCCTTAAATGTATTAACATTTGAAAATCCACTGAACAGACGATAAGCTCAGGCATTTTGAGCCAGTAACAAGTGACTACAACGCAAACAAAATCTTCACTAAATTAAACCCATTCTGGGTGAATGGCATCATGTATCTCAGACTTTCTCGGAACGAAGAACTCGTCCTACCAAGAAACAAAACAAGACACACCTGGATCACTCACTCATTTGTACTAAACAGATGAACATCATCGCCAATGCACATCATGTCAAGAGGCGTATAGTCATAAAACATATTCTAATTTTATAATTTGGCCCCTGATGCCAACAATGTATAAAAATTTAGTGACCTTTTTTCCAACAATAATATATATGACTATTTTTGAGGAATCTTCAAAATATAAGTATAAAATATCTTTCGCTCTATGAATATATATATCTATATCAAATTTATTAAATAACTTTTCTAGAGTCAAAACTATTTACATGGAATCAAATCTTTGTCTTTTACATGTATATATTTTTTAATAATATATTTTCGGCATTAAATAACCATTTAATTAATATGTATCCATCTTTTTAATTTTTCTATGCTTTCTTTCTTTTTTTTATTCTATCTATCTATCTATCTATCCTATCTATTATCTATCTATCTATCTATATCGGTATTTTTTGGTGGTATATAATCTATCTATCTATCTACAGAATTTTCATATATCTATCATACCTTTTCTTCTTTTCATATTATCTATAATAAATTTCATTAAATCTATCTATCTATCTATCTATCTATCTGAATTCTTTTTCATATCTCTAAAATATCTATCTATTAAAATCTATCTATCTATCTATAAAATATTATATCTATCCATCTATCTATATTTCATATTTTAATTTTTATATTATATATATATATATATATATATATATATATATAATATTTACAAGAAATATTATATAATATCTATATCCTAAATTCGGAGAATATCTATCTATCTATATATTTGTTCTATCTATATATATATAAATTATATATATATATATATATATATATATATATATATATTCAGTTTTGGAAATATAATATCTATATATATATATATATATATATATATATATATATATATAATATCTAAACTGTTTCATATTTATCTCTCTATTTATATGTTTTCTATTTCTTTTTGTTTCATATCCATCTTTATTTTTGATTCCTTAAAAAATATTGAAATTAACATCTTCATCCATTTTATTTTAACAGACGTTAAGGATTCTTTCTTTCTGTTTCTCACTGAAACCAAGTAGCGCCTCCCATTTGCCTTTCCACATCATCAAAACGGAATAGCCCAATATTTGTTGGGGTATTTTTGGGATGTAATGGTATATTTAACCAAGAGAATTTCAAAGAGTTTAATTATCAATGACGAGATGTTCTGAAATTTTAAATTTCTGTAAATGTAACGAAAACATATTTGAATGTATATTTTGTTGGATAAAAAGTCCTTCCATTTGTCTTTATAAAAATTATCAGAGGACGAAAAGTTTTTTCTGAGTTTATTCATATTGTCTTTTGACAGAGATATTCTTTTATTTATATCTTTTAAATATATATATATATATATATATATATATATATATATATATATATATATATATATATATTGAACAATATAAAAAATTATAAAAATTAAAATCTTTAGACACACTGGGTTGTAGATTAATATTCTTTCGTTTTTTTTTTTTTTATTATTATTTCATTTAGATTCCTCGACTAGTTTCACCAAAATGGCCATCTTCGGGAGAAAATATTTCTGATTGCTGGTAGCAGTGAACTACAGAAATGAATGTCTTGATGGATCAAATGAACTTTTGTCTGTAGTTTTCATTTTTTTTTTTATTTTTTAACATGAATTTTTTCAACATTCCTTGTGTTGGTCAAACAAAAGAAATTTTTATTAATTTTTAAGAGCTGATGGATGCATGCTCTCTAAAATCTCTGGTTATTTTGATTTTATTGGTCCTGGTGATGTGTCTCTGTTTAGTGTTTTTTGTGTGTGTTATTTGGTTCTTAATGGTCTCATTTATTATGATATGTATAAATTGTCTATTAAATATGTGTTATCATTTGGCTCATTAGGGATGATTTTTATGATGTGTATGTTTATATTTGTACCGTTTGTGTATAAGTGTGAGGCCTCAACACCTCCACCAATGTCTATATATAAATATATATAAATATATATATATATATATATATATATATATATATATATATATATATATATATATATATATATATATATATAATTGAAATATAAAAAATTAAAAATAAAATATTAGACACACTGGGTTGTAGATTAATATTCTTTCGTTTTTTTATATTATTATTTCATTTAGATTCCTCGACTAGTTTCGGATATAAAATGGCCATCATCTGTCAAGGAAAAATATTTCTGAATGCTGGTAGCAGTGAACTTTTTCTTGGCCAATGAATGTCTTGATGGAGAAAATGAACTTTTTTCTTTAGTTTTTATTTGTTTTTTTAAAAACAAATATTTTATTTTTTTTACATGAATCTTTTAACATTCCTTGATGTTGGTCAAACAGTCTCTTTTAAGTTGTTATTTGAGATAAGAGCTGGATGGATCATATGCTTCTCTGATATATATATATATATATTTGATATATTTATTGGTCCTGTTTATACGTTATTTTCTATGTTTATCCTTGTGTGTGTGTTATTTGGTTCTTTAATTAAACATTATTAATTACATTTAACGAACTGAATGTTCCAGAAATTTCGTAGAAAACAACCATATTGCAGCAGGAATAGAACTTGCTTTCTATGTGGAACCATCATTAAGGTCGGGGTGCTATAACCCTTCAGCCACAGAGAACTTTCGGTTAAGCAACGCTCGTAATTTCCTCATAGGACGAAAGTTCGATTACTGCCGGAGAACGTATATTTTCTACGAAACTTCTCGAACATTGAAGCTGGTAAACGTGATTTATGTTGTTTAATTAAAGAACAGAGCGTTTACTTAAATAAGTGTATCCATAAAAATAATGAATGTATAAACAGAATATATATTAAATCTCTGTCGGATTTTATCCATTTCCTATGAATTATATATATATATATATATATATATATATATATATATATATATATATATATATATGATTAAATGATTTGCAAACATAACGTCTGCTTATTTTTTAGCATAATACTTTCATAATAATAAGCAGATATAATATTTGTAATTTATTTAATCAGATATGCCTAAAAGAGAATTTGCTACCTAAACACACACACACACACACACACACACACACATATATATATATATATATATATATATATATATATATATATATATATATAAAAAACATTATTAATGTGGGCTATCATGTCCCTTCACAATTCAGGACGTTGTGTATCTTGGTTCTCCACATCAACACTCTCCACATCAACACTCTCCACAATTCAGGGCGTGGGCTGTCTTGGCTCTCCACAATTCTGGATGGGGTCCATCCTTGCTCTCCAAAATTCAAGACGTAGGCTACGTTGGCTCTCCCCAATTCTGGACGGGGGTCTATCCTAGCTCTCCTCAATTCAAGACGTAAGCTATTTTGGCTCTCCACAATGCAGGAAGTAAGCTATCTTGGCTCTCCACAATTCAGGACATGTTATGTTGGCTCTCCCCAATTCTGGACGGGGGTCTATCCTAGCTCTCCTCAATTCAGGACGTAAGCGATTTTGGCTCTCCACAATGCAGGACATAATTTATGTTTGCTCTCCACAATTCTGGATAGGGTCTATCCTTGTTCTGCAAAATTTAGGACGTATGCTACGTTGGCTCTCCCCAATTCTGGACGGGGTATATCCTAGCTCTCCTCAAGTTATGTTGGCTCTCCACAATTCTGGATGGGGTCTATCCAAGCTCTCCACATTCTGAACGTAGGCTATGTTTGTTCCCCACAATTCAAGACGTGGGCTAACTTGTCTCTCTACAATTCTGGACAGGATTTATCTTATCTCCCCATATATCCTGTTGTGGGCTTTATTGGCCCTACAATTCTAGATGAGTCTATCTTGGCTCTCCATAATTCAGGACGTGGGCTATCTTATCTCTTCATAATTCTGGACGCGGTATATCCTGTTTCTCCACAATTTAGGACCATGGCTCTGCACAATTGCACTCCTATCATTTGTACCACCTACTAATGTTTGTATTTTAGCTATTCATCTTAACCCATATTCTGCTATGCATTTACAAAACTAGTTTTGTAAGTTAACTACTGCTTGACTATGTCTCTTTTACCATCGGTATGTTATATGAGTATTAAATTCTCCGAATCCTCTTTCCGCATTATATATTTTTTTAGTCTTTTTTCTGATTCTAATCGAAGTATTCTTTTGGTTTCCATCAATAGTATTCTCAGCATCCTTCTGTAGAATCAAATTTCTATTGCCTCAAGTTTGCTCTTCGTTTGTGAAGAAATTGTCCAGTATTTACTGCCATATAGAAGGACTGTGGAAGTACTTTTTTTTAATATCAAATTCATCCCAGATAAGACGGTAAAGCCACTCAGACACAAGGGATTGTTAGAGGGGGGGGGAGAAAATAGAAACATTACAATGGAACGCGAACAAAAGAAGAGTAATGAAGAGAAGAGTAGAGAGCGATTGACATCCCTGCACGCAAGCCACCAATCTGCCACTGGGTGGCATGCCAGTAGCGTTTACCGCTGGTGGTCCGCTGTCGGACCGTCGGCGTGTTC